AGTAATTATATCAAGAGCAACCAAAGACCTTTCCTCAATAAATGCCTGGAAAGAGAGAAAAGAAAACAAAAAGAACCCCATCTACTCAAGCCATATTAGTCTCCAAGACAGATTTCAAAATTATGAAATATTCATAGACCAGTATCCAAAGATGACTATGAACTTCAAGGATTTTAGTTTAAAATATAAAAGGCTTCAGGGGTACATAACTGACAAAAAGTATTGGAACAACAACAACAAAGAAGGACAACAAAATAAGTTTCTGGAGTACTTTTCTTTTAAAAATTGGCAAAAACTACCAGAGCCGGAGAAAAAACAACATACTTTGGAGAATTGCAGGCTTTGCAATACTGTTCACATTGAGCACTCATCCCTCCATAAGTCTGCTGCTCCAGAGGTTACAGAACTGACAGCACTTTGCCAGTCTGTTACCAACACAATTATACGACAGAGTACACCTTCATCTAGCCATGGGACAACAACAAAGGGACTGAAGGCTGTACAAAATATAGTTAAAATTGTTCAACCAATGATGGAAAAAAATCTTAACATCAAATTTGAAAACCCAATTAAGGTTTCTATATCTCCGTTGAAAACACCAGAGCAGAAAAGGAAGGAATTTGACAGAAACTTAAAAGAAACTAAACAAAAAATGGACGATGCTTTTACTGACGCTGGAGAGGACATACATGTATTTCTTGCATCCGGAAAATCGTTCAATCAGTATACCAGGGACAGAATGTCAACCAGTTTCGAGTCCAAAAAAAATGCCAGTAAAAGGGTCCTGTCTCGGTTAGACAAAGAAAAATCAGGTTACAAACCAAAGAAACATCATGGTACTTTTGACAACTACAAATTTAACAAAGAATCATTCTTACAAGAAATTCAACAAAATCCAGCAGGTAGTTCAATTAATTGGTCACTGTTAGCTAGGAAGTACGACGTTAAAACTAAGAAAGGAACAACCCCAAAAAATGCCGGTCAAGTTTTGAAAGAGTATGCTAAAACCAAAAATCCCAATTTCACTCAAAATTTAAGATTGCGAAGGATCAGGAGGGCCAAAAAAATAATAATCCAAAAGAATATAAAAATTTCCCTACCAACCAAGAGACCAGCTAAGAATCTAAAGATAGATATAAAGAGGAAGGTTTCTTCAGGGGAATTATATATTGGAGAACCAGTTGCCCCTAAATCAATAATTAAAACGAAAATAACAGATGCCGGTACACTTAATCAGGAGAAGGAACAAATATATGGTAGAAAAATTCCAATGCAACATATCAGAAAATCCGCTTTAGAACATCAAATTCAATCTGGAACTCTACGCTTCTTCACTGATGAGGAATACAACAACATATCGGACCAAGAGCTCAGATCACGATTCTTGAGAATCCAGGAGAGTCAACCTGAAAATAGAGAAAATGCCATAAGTTTCCTAAAATCTGTGGAACGTACCAGAAGTATAAAACTTTGGCATGACCACAGCGATATACTCAATCATTCATGTTTGTTTTATGCTATCTTGGCTTTATGACACAGCTAACTATCTAACAAATCAGGAGTACATGGAAAAATACCCGGACAGAAAACCTATAAATGTACAAGCAGAAGTTGAAAAGCCAAAAATTTATATATTTGGACAATCAGGTAATAGTCCAATAATTCACCACACTACATTTAGCACATTTTTAATTCTCTATGAACAACCTCTTGATGAAGGTCTTGTGGAATGGGTGCTCCCCTGAATTAAAGTTGAATTCCCAGCTTGGTCAGACCAAAGACTATAAAATTATTATCTGCATTAAGCATGTGGCATTTAGGACTTAAGAGTCAAGTCTAGTTTGTCTGTTTTCATAATAATGTGCCAAGAGTAACAATTTTTATTTGTTCAAAAGTAGAATTTTCTCATTTAAATCATTTCATATTTTTCTTGTCAGGGCCTTTTACAGCCAACTATACAGTATTGGTTGGTCTCATTGTTGAAGGCTGTCAGTGGCCAATTAATGCTTACATTATTTACCATTAACATGCTAAAAAAAAATAAAAATCTACCAGCTAAATGCCTAGAGTGTGTAGGTAAAGGTAATATCTCTAGTTAGCTTGCTTGCAAGCTGAACCATGAAATCATTATTAGGTATAAAGGTATACTACCCTCCTTTCTGAGTAGAGTAGTCCTAGTTACAGACAGATATATTGGTTATCTGTTTGGACTAGTCTACAATTAAAGGAGCTTAGTATACCTAACTTAATAATGACTTCATGGTACAGCTAGCAAGCAAGCTAACCAGTCAGGGGACTTATTGAAATAAGTGATTTTTAAATCACTTATTTAAGTAGCAAATTCAAAGTTTTGTTACAAATTGTGATTTTGTAGTTTCACCAAAATTTTAAACACATAGGTTTAGATAATATCTTTTCATTAGTAAAATTGAAAAAAATGAACTTTTTGCTTCTTTTAAGCAGCAAGGTTTATGCCTTTGGTGCAATCGTTTAGCTGCAAATTATATTTTAGTTGAAAAAATGCTATAAAAATGGCTTTACATAATCAAATGATACTTTCTTAACAGATTTTTCCCTGCAGTGGGAGTAATTTTCCTGTAAAATTCAATGTTTCATCTTATAGATTATGTAATAAAATTCTACTGTTCGCGATAAAAATTTCACTGTTCGGGGGTGTTGAAATTAGTGGGGGTTATTAAAATAATGGTACTTAAAGAAGTGATTTTTTGGAAGGAAATTGAGGTATGATACTTAAACAAGTGATTTTTATGTCATTATCCTAGATTTAGTACAAGGTCATCACCTGACATGACCCGGTCATCCTATCAACACAGATGTTGGTTCTGATAATTTTAACAATATAATTAGTGCCTGGATCATTAGTATTCTATATTTAAAGCTACAATAAAATTAAATCACTTAGTCTAGTGATTAATTTGTACTACTTAAATACGTGATTATTAAAGAAAGACAACCCTTACTTCCAACCTTTATGGACATAATGTTACTTGAATCAGTGATTTAGAAAATCACTCATTTAAGTAAGTCCTCTGACTGCTAACCAAAGATTATACTACCTTTACCTACACACTCTAGGCATTTTGCTGTAAAATAAAAATAACAACATTCAAGCTTGATACAGCACTGAATTTTGGATTGTAATTAAATATTTGACACAGCATAGGTTTCTGACACAGAATGAAAGTGGTCTAAGAACTTAAAAATTTTTAATTCACCTATTCAAACCATATCATTTTTATTTGCTTTTATATATAAATCAGAAATAACCAATTTAAAATGGAAAATTTTAAAGAAAAAAAAGGAAAAAAAAATCCCCCCCCCCAAATTTTTTGAACCCCCTTATGATTCATCACCCCCAAACTCAATCCCAGCTTTCCCTTTGTGGTATGGTACCTTGCAGTACAATTTCAGAGAGATCCATACACTTGAACACAAGTTATTGTCTGGAAACTAGAAAAATGCTTGTTTTTTTGCCCCTTTTTGGCCCCAAATTCCTAAACATTTAGGGCAATTACCCCAAACTCAAACCCAGCTTCCCTTTGTGATATGGTACCTTGCAGTACAATTTCATAAAGATCCATACACTTACACACAAGTTATTGTCCTGAAACTAGAAAAATGCTTGTTTTTTGCCCTTTTGTGGCCCCTTATTACTAAAATTTTGAGGGAATTACCACCAAAATCAATCCCAGCCTTTCCATTGTAGAATGGTACCTTGCAGTACAATTTCAGAGAGATCCATACACTTGAACACAAGTTATTGTCTGGAAACTAGAAAAATGCTAATTGTTTTCCCCTTTTTGGCCCCTTATTCCTAAACTTTTTTGGGCAATTACCCCCAAACGCAATTCCAGCTTTCCCTATGTGATATGGAACCTTGTAGTACAATTTCATAAAGATCCATACACTTACACACAAGTTATTGTCATGAAACTAGAAAAATGCTTGTTTTTTGCCCCTTTTTGGCCCCTAATTCCTAAACATTTAGGGCAATTACCCCAAACTCAATCCCAGCATTCCCTTTGTGATATGGAACCTTGTGATACAATGTCAGAGAGATCCATACACTAACACACAAGTTATTGTCATGAAACTAGAAAAATGCTTGTTTTTTGCCCCTTTTTGGCCCCTAATTCCTAAAATTTGGAGGCAATTACCCCCAAAATCAATCCCAGCATTCCCCTTGTGATATGGAACCTTGTGGTACAATGTCAGAGAGATCCATACACTTACACACAAGTTATGTCTAGAAGTTACAAAAATGCTTATTTTTTGCCCCTTTTTGGCCCCTAATTCCTTAAGTGTTGGTACCATAACCCCCAAAATCAATCCCCACCTTCCTTTTGTGGTATTGAACCTTATGGTAAAATTTCATTGAGATCCATTCACTTAAACTAAAGTTAGAGTGCGAAAACTAATGTGTCTTCGGACGACGACGCCAACGTCATTCGAATATACGACCACAAAATTTTTTTTGCAGTCGTATAAAAATTACCTGCTCTGTCATTGTCCTATATAGAAAATCTGTATTCCATTTATTGCCAGATATTCTTTTTATCGTGATGCTGAAAAAAATGATTGTACAAGATAAAACATTTTTATAAATCATTTAGTACATAAATAGTATACATCCACACATGTTCCCCCTAAAAGAAATTGTTAACAATGGACACTAAATTTCCTGTATTTAATCACTTCTTATTGTGAAATTTATCAAAACTTTAATTCATACCAAAATATATGTTAGCTGCTTAATTGTTCATTCGAGACATTTAATTCACCAACATAATAATAAAAAACCTCAAAGATACATTGAACAGTGAACCAGTGAAAACCAACTTATTTTGGCAGATACTTTATTTCGTGTTTTACCATTTCTAGGCCACTTCACAGCTATTTAATTTTGCGTTACTAATGGTTCTGTGAGCAAAGCTTAATTCCCCTTTAAACCCCCCCCCCCCCCCCCCCCCACAAAAAAAAATAAAAATGCACAAGAAAAAGAATGTAGAACTCAGAATCTATGATTTTATTAATTTTTGAACCCAAAAAAAACCAACTTGGAGACCTGTCCATGATGCCACTTATAAAATTAATTCATTCAAATATTAAATGCAGGTTGTAAAGATGAAGAACAAATGACATATGTAGAAACTAGACTGGAGGACTTGGAAGATATAGACACCCCAATCAAACATGACGACTACGAAATACAGGACTGCTTACGACTTTTTAGCGGAGATGGACCTGCCAGGCAGTTTGAAGGTGGTCAACAACGAGGAGGAAATTACCCATGTCTTTGTGGAGTTCATGCTGAACAACATACCAATCTACTCCATTGCTTCCATGTTTCTGCTCAAGATTTGGATGACAGATGCAGGTTGGCCACTTCATCAAATTCCCTACAGAAATTGAAAAAAGGCTGTCTAAACCCCTATCAAAACCTGAAAAAAGATGAAATCATGACAGAGTTAGACAGCAGGAAAATTGATTTTGACTGTTCCCTTAAACCAGACCTTCAAGCCATTTTGACTACGACACTGCATGGTATTTGTAGACCACCAGCATTGATGACAAACAGTCCACACCTGACATCACAAGATCTAAACATTGGAAAATATGAAATTCTTGGCTGTGAACCCCTACATGATTTAACGAATGTAATCCAAAACGTAATTACAGAGTTACCATTTCATATCTCTGATTCATCCGTTCAAAAGCAGTTTTCAAATTTTTCAAACAGCACAATTGGTGACAAAAACCAGATCAAAGGATCAGATGCTCGTCTGTTTTTAATTAAATTGGCCCAGTTTACATCAGATTTACATGGTAATGGAAAAATAGAGGACAACATTATGCAGCTTATAAATTCCCTTGTTGAAATTGTTAACATTTCATACCTTCCCAGTGAATCAAGAACACCTAAGATGATTTTAAGACTTTTCAATCAGGCTTTAATATTTGGTATGGTATGCAGGAATGTCATTGGAAAACCATTAAAAATGACATCTAGAAAGTTTTACGGCAGTCATTTTCATAGTGTCACAGTCCATCTTCCTAACACTTTTAGAATTTTCTCTTTACGATCTGTTCACACTGAACAAGAGGAAAGATGTTTTGGCGACTTAAGAAGAATTTCGGAAATGACGACCAACAGACAACCCAAATGGATTGCTGACAATGCTATGCTAAGGTTCAATAGTCAGCAGAACGCACCTGATAAACCAGAGTCATTTAAAATACAGGATTCAACAATAAGTAGGCAGGCAAGGCTGTTGCCAGAAAGACCAAGATCTACATTTTCAGCAGAACTAATCAATAAGCGACCTTCCTTTGTCCAATGCCATCTGGAGAGAATTGCAGATTTCATGTTACAGGGTCAAGATGTCTGGTGGTTTTTCGAAAATGGAGGGTTGGTCTTTTTTGATGGCCCAAATGATCCCTCCTCAAGACCTGAGGGACCTCCACTTCACCATTTCAGATCATCTGGCCTGAAAGACGAGGAACAAATTTTGAAAAATGCTTGGGCTAAGGTAGTCGATAAATTTGAAAGTGGGTATTTACTGCTACCTTTAAAAAAACTGAAGGTGTTTGATGATGATGGAAATTCAAAATATGTGTCTTGGTGTGAAAAACACACATTGAAAGGTACTTTCATCATGTTCATAATATGTTTTTTGAATACATTAAATAAAAGGAATATTTGTTTTATTCTTCTAAAAGTATATATTTGTGCACTGCTAACATGCATCATTTTTTTTATAATCTATAAATTTCTCTTTTACAGAAGACAATGCATCAGATATCACCATCAGTTACCAGCCTGACAGACAAGATTATGAAGGTAAAATAATGGTACCAAAGATGCATTTATATATATGTATTATTAAATTTGAATAAATATATACATTCAATCACGGTCATCCGATGTAAAAATCATTATTATGAGAAGGAGATGACCCATTCAAGCTACATGTTTATTAAAAAACTAATGATCAACAGATGTGATTTTTTCCCATAAAATGGGTACATTTTTCCCATAATATGTTGTACTGTTACACCACTGTCCCAGGTTAAGGGGAGGGTTGGGATCCCGCTAACATGTTTAACCCCACCACATTCTGTATGTATGTGCCTGTCCCAAGTCAGGAGCCTGTAATTCGGTGGTTGTCGTTTGTTTATGTGTTACATATTTGTTTTTTGTTCATTTTTTTTACATAAATTAGGCCGTTAGTTTTCTCGTTTGAATTGTTTTACATTGTCATTTCCGGGCCTTTTATAGCTGATTGTGCAGTATGGGTTTTGCTCATTGTTGAAGGCTGTACGGTGACCTATAGTTGTTAATTTCTGTGTCATTTGGTCTCTTGTGGAGAGTTGTCTCATTGGCAATCATACCACATCTTCTTTTTTATATTTACATGTACATAAATGTCCTGCACTAGTTACAAGTCAGTCATTTTTAATATTAAAGCAAGAGAAAATTTGGATCATGATTAATGAGAGAAGCACTTACCTTTTTTGCAGCTATTACAATAACCAAGGAAAATGATGAACCAATGGATCAAATTAGGGACTCTAGTCATCTGCCAGTAGATGAATGTACTGATTCAAATGATGAGGTCAGCAATGCCATGGAGGAAGGGTGTACACTTCTGAAAGTGAAACCCTCTCGTCATTCTGGTAAGCTTCTCCTGAAAATTACAGAAAATAAAACATAATATATACTTCTTCAAAAAAAAAGTCAACAGTTTTCCTTATTATTGAATTATTTATAATTAATGTAATTGCAAGCTTTGTATTGATTTATGGGTTTTAAATGTCTACCTTTATTGTGTCAATTCTCTTTCCATTTTTTTCTTCTTCATTTAATATTGAAGTGTATACTATCCACAGTTAATATATATTATATATGATCTCAGTTATTGAAATATTATGTAATTTCTTATACATCTAAAAAGCATAAATCCTATGGTGAAAATGTAAATAAATAAAAATGCAAACATTCCCTCATTTCCTTAAAACAGACCCACCTGAAGTACATGTACTAGCAGTTGACCATCAAAGAAAACAACAAGAGAACTCCGAAACCAAGGACAAGTACAAATCCTACATTAAAGGTAAACAATTTTGCTAACCACACATTTCATTATGATGATTATAGGCAGAACAACTGATATACCTGATCGTTGTTTGAAGTAGTATGTCATTTTTGTATATGGTATTTAGATATTTTGATTTGGATGGCAGATCTTTGAATGATTCATTTAATTTGTACACATTTAGAAGACTACATACAGTATTAAAAGATAATAAAATGCTTCGCTGGGCGCAGCTTGATACGACCGCAGAGGTCGAACCCTGAACAGTTGGGGCAAGTATGGACACAACATTCAAGCTTGATACAGCTCTGAATTTGGATTGTGATTAAATATTTGACACAGCATAGGTTTCTGACACAGAAAGAATGTGGTCTAAGAACTTCAATTTTTTTAATTTACCTATTATGGTCCAATGTCCAAAATCAAAATACATGGTTAGATTCAGCATATCAAAGAACCCCATATATTCAATTTTTGTTGAAATCAAACAAAGTTTAATTTTGGACCCCAACTTGGACAAACTTGAAAACTGGTCCCATAATCAAAAATCTAAACACATGTTTAGATTCAGCATATCAAAGAACCCCAAGAATTCAATTTTTGTTAAAATCAAACTAAGTTTAATTTTGGACCCTTTGGACCTTAATGTAGACCAATTTAAAAAACGGGACCCAAAATTAAAAATCTAAAAACACGGTTAGATTTGGCATATCAAAGAACCCCAATAATTCAATTTTTGATGAAATCAAACAAAGTTTAATTTTGGACCCTTTTGACCTCAATATGAACCAATTTGATAGCAGGCCCACAAAATAAAAAATCTAAATACATGGTAAGATTCAGCATATCAAAGAACCCCATATATTCAATTTTTGTTGAAATCAAACAAAGTTTAATTTTGGACCCCAATTTGGACCAACTTGAAAACTGGGCCAAAAATCTAAAATCTAAATACATGTTTAGATTCAGCATATCAAAGAACCCCATATATTCAATTTTTGTTGAAATCAAACAAAGTTTAATTTTGGACCCCAACTTGGACCAACTTGAAAACTGGTCCCATAATCAAAAATCTAAACACATGTTTAGATTCAGCATATCAAAGAACCCCAAAAATTCAATTTTTGTTAAAATCAAATTAAGTTTAATTTTGGACCCTTTGGACCTTAATGTAGACCAATTTAAAAAACGGGACCCAAAATTAAAAATCTAAATACACGGTTAGATTTGGCATATCAAAGAACCCCAATAATTAAATTTTTGATGAAATCAAACAAAGTTTAATTTTGGACCCTTTTGACCTCAATATGAACCAATTTGATAGCGGGTCCACAAATAAAAAATCTAAATACATGGTTAGATTCAGCATATCAAAGAACCCCAAGAATTCAATTTCTGATGAAATCAAACAAAGTTTAATTTTGGACCCTTTTGACCTCAATGTGGACAAAGTTGATAACGGGGCCCAAAAATCAAAAATCTAAATACATGGTTAGATTCAGCATATCAAAGAACCCCATATATTCAATTTTTGTTGAAATCAAACAAAGTTTAATTTTGGACCCCGATTTGGACAACTTGAAAACTGGGCCCATAATCAAAAATCTAAATACATGTTTAGATTCAGCATATCAAAGTACCCTAAAAATTCAATTTTTGTTAAAATCAAACTAAGTTTAATTTTGGACCCTTTTGACCTTAATGTAGACCAATTTGAAAACGGAACCAAAAATTAAGAATCTAAATACACGGTTAGATTCGGCATATCAAAGAACCCCAATAATTCAATTTTTGATGAAATCAAACAAAGTTAAATTTTGGACCCTTTGGACCTCAATGTGGACCAATTTAAAAACGGGGCCCAAAATCCAAAAACTTAATACACGGTTAGATTCAGCATATTAAAGAACCCCAAGAATTCAAGAATAAAACCCCATTGAAATTGATCAAGAAATAAGTAATTTATACGAAGTATCTTCTTTTGCACAATACTGTGCAATTGAATATTTCTTGCTATTGTGCAATACTGTACAATTGACAATTTCTTGCTATTGCGCAATATTGTGCTATTGGATATTTCTTGCTATTGCGCAATACTGTGCAATTGAAGATTTCTTGCTATTGCGCAATACTGTGCAATTGAAGATTTCTTGCAATTGTGCAATACTGTGCAATTGAAAATTTCTTGCTATTGCACAATACTTATTATATAATAATTTACACATCCTGTTTGGTGTGTATCTCCTACCATATCATTATTATTTGCTTTTAAATATTAATCAGAAATAACCAATTTAAAATGGAAAATTTAAAAAGAAAAAAAAAAGGAAAAAAATAAAAAAAAAAATCCCCCCCCCCCCCCCCAAATTTTTTGAACCCCCTTATGATTCATCACCCCCAAACTCAATCCCAGCCTTCCCTTTGTTGTATGGTACCTTGCAGTACAATTTCAGAGAGATCCATACACTTGAACACAAGTTATTGTCTGGAAACTAGAAAAATGCTTATTTTTGGCCCCTTTTTGGCCCCCAATTCCTAAACGTTTCGGGCAATTACCCCCAAACTCAATTCCAGCTTTCCCTTTGTGATATGGAACCTTGTAGTACAATTTCAGAAATATCCAAACACTTACACACAAGTTATTTTCATGAAACTAGAAAAATGCTTGTTTTTTGCCCCTTTTTTGGCCCCTAATTCCTAAAATTTGGAGGCAATTACCCCCAAAATCAATTACAGCCTTCCCTTTGTGATATGGAACCTTGTGGTACAATGTCAGAGAGATCCATACACTTACACACAAGTTATTGTCTGGAAGTTACAAAAATGCTTATTTTTGGCCCCTTTTTGGCCCCTAATTCCTTAACTGTTGGTACCATAACCCCCAAAATCAATCCCCACCTTTCTTTCGTGGTATTGAACCTTATGGTAAAATTTCATGGAGATCCATTCACTTAAACTAAAGTTAGAGTGCGAAAACCAATGTGTCTTCGGACGACGCCGGACGACGCCGACGACGACGACGCCAACGTCATACCAATATACGACCAAAAAATTTTCAATTTTTGCGGTCGTATAAAAATCCCTCCAATCACAGTATTATCATTATTAACAATCTCAATGTCATACCTGACCATAAAAAAATAACATTTCAAGATTTGTTGACCAACAAATTTTGTTGAAAGAAGTATAGTGACCTGTAGTTGTTTAATTCTGTGTTGATTTGGTCTCTAGTGTAGAGATATCTTATTGGCAATCATAACACTTCTTTCTATTCTTATACCTCCACATCATTCAGATATACAGGATATATATAAAATATGTTTTAATTTCAGTTTTGAGATGGGCTGTACAACATAACAGCACTGATGCCCATGAAAACCTGATCACCAAACCAAAACCATTACCAGGTAGGTTACACAATCTTCATTTTCTAATACTGATCAGATATATCGAAGCCAATAATTTTCTTCTATGTTGTTGGATTGCTGTTAATCACACCTTTTTCAAAACAAAAACTTTTAATTTCAGCTAAGAAACCACTATCATGCAAAAGGAAATTATTTGATTCTGAAATTTCCAACCAAGAATTTGGTAAGTTGTAATATTATTACTTGAACTTTGGTAATAAGTTAATAAGAGCAAAATAAGAAGTGAAATGACATTTCTGAAGAGTTATTTCTAAATAAAATTTGTAATACATGAAAGAACCTTAGTGAGCGCGCTCACATACCCCACGTCCCCACATTGTCATTGGAGAAATAAAATAAGTGTAAGAAAAAAAAATTGTATCAGAGAAAAAATTGAATTATAATTTCCTGTCAATATGCACATCTACATAGTATGTCCTTATTATCTACACATTTTCATGAAATTCTGTTGTGTGGTTTGAGAGGAGTTGCGATGACAAAAGGTTGCAGTAGTATATTGGGCAAATAAGTTCAAAGGGGTGTAAGTCCTGGAAAAAAAATTGAATCATAATTTCCCGTCGATATACATATCTACGTAGTATGTCCTTATTATCTGAAAAGGTTTCATGAAATTCTGTTGTGTGGTTTGAGAGGAGTTGTGATGACAAAAGGTTGCAGTAGTATATTGGGCAAATAAGTTCAAAGGGGCGTTACTCCAGGAAAAAAAATTGAATCGTAATTTCCTGTCAATATGCACATCTACGTAGTATGTCCTTATTATCTAAAAAGGTTTCGTGAAATTCTGTTGTGTGGTTTGAGAGGAGTTGCGATGACAAGAAACAGGACTGATGGACGGACTGACAGACGGGTCAAAAACATTATACCCTCCGCAACTCGTTGCGTGGGGTATAAAAATTAATATAATGCATGTTGTTAATCAATATTTCTACAAGTTGTGTGCTAAATTAAAGATTATTATTAGTATGCAGACAAAGTTACTCACTGCATGCAGCAGCATCTAATATTTTAGGAATAAAACATACATTTTTATGTAGCTATTTTTCTAGTTTGACTGAATTAAAAAAATATAAAAAAAAAAAAATACTTGTGAGAAGGGATGTACGTGAAAATTCAGTATCATTTTACAATGTTTTACTAAGTATATACCTTTTTATGCTTCAGCATCACGTAGAAAGAAGACAACATTCGACCTGGTTGTCCAACTACTTGGCCCATCATCAGATGTGGAAGACTGCATTAAGTACAGGGAATTGAAGCTTAAACACCCCGGTCATAAATCCTTTATATCGGCTTTTGATCAATCTTTCTCCAAGCTACAGATTCAGGTCAGCAAGAAATATTTTGCCCTGAAAGAAGAGACAACAAAAGATGATGGAAAGGAGAACCGGGAGAATCTGTTAGCTGACAAGGAGATTGCTCAAAAGCTGCTTGATCACTGGGGAATGTACTACTTTTAATGTCCAGTGCACTACATAATAATTCTTAAATGTTACATATAAAATAATTTTACAAAATGCCATACCTACTTAAGTTATAAAATAAGGAGATGTGGTATGATTGCCAATGATACATTTATCTACAATTGACCAAAAGGACATACATGTAGATGTAAGCAGCTATTGGTCACTGTGCAGCACAAGAAATTTAAGAACAAACAATTTTCTAAATTCTACATATACTACCTTTTTTTACTATTTGACTATAGTTATTTCTTAAAAACATCCAATGTATACGCAAGTTATGTAAGTTATGTATCATACACTTTGAATTTATATTTCTATAAATACAAGAAGATGTGGTTTGAGTGCCAATGAGACAACTCTCTCATCCAAGTCACAATTTGTAAAAGTATTTATAGGTCAAAGTGAGGTCTTCAACACAGATCCTTGGCTCACACCGAACAGCAAGCTATAAAGGGCCCAAAAAATGACATTTGTAAAACCATTTGAACGGGAAAACCAACGGTCTAACCTTTCTAAAACACAAGAAACAAGAAACACTTATAAACCACATCAACAAACGACTACTAAACATCAGGTTCCTGACTTAGGACCGGTGCAAACAAATGTAATGGGTTTAAGTTCAGATAAATTATATATTTTTTTAGCCTCTTGGTCATGTTGGCAGGTATTTAACATCAAATGGCAAATATCACATGCATATTAGGACTAGAACATGTTAATTTTATACGAATATGAACCCTGCTTTATTTTATACTCAGTAACCGCTACATTAATCATGTTAATGTACATTTAATAGTGAATTGATCAATCATAAAATTGTATAATGAGCACTTTAATATGTAAAATGGTGCACTGGATATTTTTATATAAATGTGCACCCTTAGTGGCTTGGATCATAAGGCTATTTTCATAAAGGCAAAACACATAAAAAAGGAGAAGGGGGCAGGTTGTTTAGAGGGTACCCTGCAACACTTTTAAACAAGGGATAATTACAAACTACCGTGACTTAATATGTGTGTTGAATCCTCAGAATAATTCCTACTGCTGATGTATAACTATATATAATATTAGGGCTGGAAAATTTATACAGTATGAAATAGGAGACAAAAAATAAGGAAATGTGATATAATTGCAAATGACACAATTATTCCTCAGATAGCCATACAAACAGACTAGAATGTAATTTTAGATCATTGTTCAGGAGGGCCTTTAGCAATGAGCAAAACCTATACTAAGAAGCAAGATACAATTGAACCTGGTGTGAACAAATTGAGAAATGATTCAAACCAGTAAATCTATATCCTGATTTGTGCTAAAGCAAAATATCAATGAATATGGCAGACAGCATCCCATGTAAACAACAGGCAATTACAAAAAGACAAAACAAATGGAAAATCAGAACTGTTTTAATTGCTGCTCTTCCATGTGAACCTTAGTCACAATTTGACCTTCGATAGGAGCATTTACTAAAACCTTGTTGCAACTACATTCATTTTCAAAGCCTGCCCCTGTTTTTAAATAGACCTTGTGGTTAATACGAAAGGATTTATGAAGGGGACCTCTTCAATAGACAAACATGGCTGATACTGTATTCTGACATCTTCAGTATAAACTGTTTGAAATTAATATATTTTGTAATTAAGTCCAGGAGACTGCATATCTATAAATCTGCAGAAAAATCTTATCAAGAATGTAATATTGAGACTCATTGGTGTAAAAAATGGGAACTGAAGTCAAATACATGTCAGATTTTAAAATAGTTTCATACAATTGCAAGTTTGATTCAAATACAATTTTCAAATATTTTAGGTCTAAGACTATAATGAGAATGTTCAATTCCAGTTTGGTTCAATAATAAGCATGGTTAGAAGCTTTTTCCTAAATTCTTTTTTTCAAAACAGTGAATACAGTATCAGGCCTCATTACCTGTACTTAAGTTACCGCCATGAGTACAACCAGAGATTTATACCAAGTTTCCAATAACATCAGGATGATATCACTGTCAGGATATGACAGAAATTTAACTAATATGACTAAAAAATATACTGGATATGACAATGATTTACTCGATAATCCCAGGGGTGTGGAAATTCGAAGTTCAACCAATAGGACAAGTACATCCATGCAACGGGACAAGTATTTTTAAACAAGTTATAAAGACAACATCTGAATTTAAAAGTCCTTCCTTCAACTATTTGATATGACTAGTATACCATGGGTCAGTGTGGTTGTTCTGCGCTATACCTTTCATTCTTAAAATAATAGGAAAAAGTCATTGATAGGGTTCTGAAAAAATTAAGGGTCAGTGTGGGTTTTTCTACGCTAAACCCATATTCCAATCTTTGCTCAATAGGAAATGTTGAAAGAGACACAAAAATCATGAAATACCAAGTCCACCCTGTATCTAGAATTTAGAAGGAGACGTTTATACAGACTTGCTAGATAAAAGCATAGGCAGGCTGGATGATGCATTGGCCTTTCAGTACCAGACACCCCTGGGATATGACAACATAATTTACTGGATATGACATAGCAATTCACTGGATTTGACAACAATTAATGGATATGACTTGACTCAATAATGTCACACTGACATGCACTGTAGTCATCATGGTAATATTATTATTTTCCTTTCTAAAAAAGGTAATGTTAATCTTTGCCATTTTATTAGGTATCCAGGTGATGGTTAAAATATCTGGTCATCTAAAATGTGTATAGGAAACAGTATCATGGTAGGTTGGCCATAGGGTTGGTCATGTGATTTATTATGATCTGTACCATTTTGAAATAAATTATGACAAGTGTTTTAGCTTCTCATCTAGGATTTCATAAATTTTCTGCTAAATTTATAGCTTTTTTATAACTAATTTTAATGTTTATAATCATTAATAAAGTTTAAACATGTTAATGTTTTGTACACAGTTCTTGTGTGCATTAAAAATTTCTCCTTTTGAAGAGTTAATTAAGTTTAAAATATTCTTATATAAATAAAGACTGAAAAAATAATAAAATAATTTAACTTAATAATAAAGTACCAGAAATTGAAAAAAGGGCCAACAATAAAATCATAATGACTGGCAATATAACAAAAATATACCAATTTTTTTTCAAATTGCAAATTAATTTATTTTTTTGTTTCAAAGAAGGTGTAATAAAAAAAGTGGTTTCAAAGAAGAAGTATTAAAAACAGTGGTTTCAGAGAAGATGTAAATGGCATTTAAGGGTTTACTTGCTGTGTAAAATTCTCCATGCTTCATTTCATGCCATATTTTGTATTGCATTATTTCATCAGTCCAAGTCAAGCACCTTCAGGAAATTCTGATATTAAATGAATCTGATTTTTTTCTCTCATTCGAACAAAAGTTATTTATAAATAGAGTAAATGATAAATATGCGAATAAGTCATATTCTTTTTTAATTTAAACAGGTTAATGTTTAAAAAATATCAATTATGTCTGCATGTGACAATATTTCTTCAAATAATGGCAAGCATTTAATTTGTTAAAACCGTAAAAATAAAAAGTAATTGAAATCACTATAGTTTCTTCAGACTAAAAAATAAAGGTGGGCAGCAAACATGGGAAAGTTATGTAATCATTTTGCTATATAAATTACAATTAATACATAAATAGAAATCAAACTAATTTTTACACAGCAATTTTATTAAAGTGAACAGTATAAAAAAGGTTCCTCTTGGACTGAAATTTGCAATGTGGTGGTGGGTGGGGAATGCAGCCAAGATATGTAAAATCTTGCCAGTCACAAGCCTGGAAAGAGGGTAACTTCAATCAATATGGAAGTGACCTTCTGAATGCAGAGTGAACCACCATAAGAAGTAATAAGCTAGTTTAGTGTGATTTTTCAGAATATAAATTTGTAAAGATTAAGGGGTCATCCACATATTAATTGTCAACCATTTTCCAAAGTGTACAAAGCATATACTTTTTCAGACCCCCACCCTCCCTCAAAAAAGTGTACATCAACCATTTTCAGATTTCAAGACTAGAATCAATCATTCTTAATAAAAAGAAGATCCTGTCTATTATCATAATTATAATTTAGTTTAATATAGAAATTTGCATTAAAAATAAACTGAATCAAATAACTGTTTTATTTTATGACATGTATCTGTGATGCTTGCATATAATTTGAAACATGCTACTTTTAATGTACAATTTCACATTATTTTCAAACCCATAGATGATAAATAGCTTCATTGAGGTAATAAAAACTGAACCCTGTGGAAACGAAAAATATTCCAGAAATTAAAAAAAAGTGTACGGTAAAAATGTTTGATTTTTTAACCCCCTCCTCCATTTGTCCTCCCAAGTGTACGTTTTGTACACTTTGGAAAATGGTTGACAATTATTATGGATGACCCCTAGGCTAACAGAAAGCACTTTGAAAATGATGCAACGAGAGAGATCTATAGAGATTTACTGCAGATCCTTCAGTTTTATATTTGTTGGAAATCAATTTTCGAAGATTTCATTGGTGAACCTAATCAAAAACGTTCAATATAGTTACGTACAAATTCTCCTTAGGCTAGTATGTAAGCTTTTACTAAACTACCCAAGAGAAAATGAAAACGGGATCTATCGGGATCCCAGTCAAATCCCGGTAAAATTAGCGGGATAAGCCGGGATGGGCCTCAGAAGTCGGGATTCCATTCGGGATAAATATCTGAAACTGGGATCCCATTCGGGATATATGTCTGAAACTGGGATCCCATTGGGATATCTGTCTCAAGCTGGGATCCAATCCCAGTTGAAGCAAGATAAATATACGAAACTGGGATCCCATTGGGATAACTGTCTGAAACCGGGATCCCATCTTACTTTAAACAGGGAAACATAAACCAGAATTTTGTGTGGAATTTAAAAAAAATTATCCTGGAAATGTAAAATATATCCTGGTTATAGAATTCTGTGAAAAACCTAAATTTTGTAAATCAATATATTTTGAATGACCCCACTTAAAACTGGTGCTTTGAA